GATAAATTGATATGCGTTTTAACCAAAAATTCATTTTTTTTATAAATAAAAAGGGATTCGTGGTCGATTACGTTTAGGGAATGATTAGCACCCCTACAACGCCCAAAATTGGTACTTTATTAATTATAATTGTCTCTATTATTAGAAATTAAAAATTTAAAGATATATTTAATAATCCTATTATTTAGAAGTTATAATTATATAAAAATGTATTTATAAATATATAAAAAAATAAATTTATTTATTTAAAAATATCATAAAAGGACTTCTAGGTGCCTTAAGACAGCTCTTTTCTTTGATATTAAAAAAATAAATAAATAATTAAAACATTTTTTAAAAAATAGGATATTTATTTATTTAAAATATTTAGAACATGGACATCCAATTGTTTTAAGACTGTCTTTTCTTAATATTGAAAAATAAATAAATATTAAAACATGATTAAAATAATTTATATAATAATAATTAATATTTAAATTAAAATATAACTAAACAATGACTAAAATAAATAAAAAATAAAACTATAATGTTAAAATATAAAAAAAAGTAAAAAACTTGTAGTAAAATAAATGAAGATATTAAAATTAATGACTAAATTAAAATATATTATATTAAATACCCAATTTGTAATGTTATGAAATATAATAACTAATAGTGTAATTTAACCTTAATTATTTATTCAGGGCTAAAATATAATAAAATAAAAAAATAAAATAAAAAAATAATTTAAAAATAAAAGATAAAACTTGTAGTTAAAATAAATGAAGATATTAAAATTAATGACTAAATTAAAATATATTAATATAAATACCCTAATTTGTAATGTTATGAAATATAATAACTAATAGTGTAATTTAACCTTAATTATTTATTCAGGGCTAAAATATAATAAAATAATATTGGAAGACAAAATTAAAATATCCAGAAAAATAATTCTAGTGACTAAATTGAAAAGATTACAAACTTGGATGACTGCGCGTATGGTTTGGCCATGCGCGAAATTACAGGTATACCTCTCCCAAAACGACGTCGTTTGGGAATGGGTATTTATACCCGAATATGGCTGGCCCTACGGGCCATTCTCTCATTTCTTCCTTTCTCTCTTCTCTCTCTAAATGAGAGAGTTATAAAACTCTCTCGCTTCTCTCTAAAACAGAGAGAAGAGGCACCGGCCGGCAGCCGTTCACCGGTGTTGACCCCGCCACCGCATTCGGTGGCCGGAAAAAAAAAAATTTACACCAAAATATAGATCGGACCGTCCTATTGACAGTTTCGATGACCGTTTCTCTTAAAAAGCTCCCGATCGGAGCAAATCTACGAAAATACCTTCGGGTTTTCTTAGGCCTTTGGTGATGTTTGGAGGCTCGTGTGAACTCCGGCGACGGCGGGGCTTTGTTAGTAAGTATCCCTCGTATTTTCCTTGCTATTACGGTTGCTGAGTTGCTCTCTGTATCTTCTCTTTTTTTTTTGCTTTCTGTTTTTCTCTTGGGTTGCTGTCGTGTTCCTTTGTTTGCAGATGGTCGATGGCTTTTATAGCCATCGACGGTGTGGCTCTCGGACTAGTTAATAAGGTGGTTGTTTAGTGAGTCACCGGATTTCCAGTGGTGACTCACTGTAGAGCGACGTGTGCGGCTGGAAGGGCTCTTCTGGAAGCCTTTGGTGGACGTCGTGGCAGCAGCTGAAACAGAGTGAACTGGCGGCAAAAGCAACGACGGCCGTGTGGCCCTAGGGTGATGATACCCTAGGGTTTTGTCTGGAGCCATCTAGGTCGTTGGATCAAATCAGATCCAACGGTGGAAAGAGAGAGGCGGCTGGATGAAGATGTTGAAACCCTAGTTAGGTTTAGGGTTTCCATTGGGCTATTGTAACTGGGCCGGTTATTGTTGGGTCTGTAAATGGGCCGGTCCAGTCTGGATTGGGCCTGTAATAATATTTATTAATAATAATAATAATAATAATAATAATAATATAAATAATATTCAAATGAAAAAAAATGAGTATCTTCAACTTATATTTCTATCAATTTGGTCATAATTTAAAACAATTCAATAAATCTAACCCTTTATGTTTAAGAATTCTATCAATTTAATATTTATTCTTCTCTTAAATTATTCATTCTTCAAATATAAAGAAATTGAAAACATAATTAGATTATTTTTAAATATTTTTAATATAATAGAATTATATTATTTTTTTAGAATGTATTAATTACTATTTGTTAAAACATAATTAGAAAAAAGGCAACCTAATTTTTTTCACATTAATTAATATCCAAATTACGTCAAAAAAATTTAAGGCTGAGTGACTATCTTTTTTAAACTTATAGATTTTCGAGTACCTTTTTTAGAAACGCTATGAAATTGAGGGGCAATTGATATATTAAGCTATCTAATTCACCTAAGGTCCAGGAGGTAAATTCGGCCATCGAAGCCTCCAAAGAAAAAAAATGTCAAACGATTCGCGAACTCAGTCTATAGCTTTCGGGTTACCTTGGCCGGAAATCAACGACGGCATATTCTACAACGACGTCGTTCCGTTTTCCGATTCCGGTCATTCCAAAACTTAATTTATTATTCTCCTTTTATTTTTCGTTCAAGTTAATGTGATAATTGTTAACTGAATATTTTAACTCCTTTTTTTATGTATATGTTTATAGGGCATACTTTAGTAGAATTTTACTCAAGGAAGTACAAACATTCAGCTCCTTTACAAGGGTAATTGTTTTAATTCCTTATAAATTATATCAAAATTTCAATTTCTTCGTCGGTTTCTTTTTGTTTATAAGATTCAAGTGACACAATTGTAATCTATGTTCTATATTGCTCATACTTTTTATTTTTCTTGAAGTACTCATTTCCAACACATGTTTTGACGTGAATTTGAAGATAATGGTGTGACCGACGGGGATTCCTTCGTCATGCCGTCTATCCTCCAAGAACAAGATTTGTGATACAATTGACTTAAATAAAATCATTTCTTAATGATAACGACTAATTAATTTTTTTAATTCCAGTTATTAAAATGTAAGCCACTAAAAAGTCAATAAACATTAGTATGATTTACTATTTTTCTATATTTTCATGTGATGATGACGTGGTATAATTTTAAATTATCAACTTTAAAAATTAAATTTTTTATTTTTATTTATTTAAACGAACTGATATATTTATTATTATTTATTAAATTTTAGGTTTAAATGCACAATTGTCCCCTAAAGTATATCACTTGTACCGAGTTACATAAGGATAAATTACATATTTAGTTATTCAACTATTTTTACGATTTTATTTTGGTAACTTCATTATTATTTTTTTCAAAATCATCACTAAACTTAAGTTTTTATTCCGTTTTAATCATCCAATTCGATTTAATTTATTTTCTAAATTTATAATATATAATAATTTATTTATATCATATATTTTTTACTGAATTTAATTTATAATAATAAATAGTATTATAATGTAAATCATATTTGTTAATGGTTCCTCCTGAAGGATATGTGGAAGAAGAGGGGAATAATAATAGAGAGGATGAAGCTAGGGTTTCCGGTAATGCTACGGTCCAGATTGGTTTCGTTGAAGAAGATATTGTTCAAAACAATAACCCTATATTTCCAGAAGCGGCTAAGGACAAGAGAAAGAAGCCAAGAACTATCAAAACAAGTGGAGAAATTGAAAGCCAAAGGATGACTCACATAGCTGCGGAAAGAAGCTGAAATTTACCCATCTCAAGAAGGTTCGTAAACTGATCCCTATACTTTTGTTTTCTTTTTATTTCTAGTATAATCTTGCTTCCCCCTCTTTAAACAGAAACTTTTAGCCATCAATTTGTATTATTTAAAATGTAACACCCAAAATTAGCCTCAATTTGAAAACCCTAAAATTTGAGAAAATTATTTAAATTCCTAATTTTAGTTTGGTAACCTAATTGAAAATATGTAAAGTTTGGATCCAAATTCGTAAACTATATGAGGTTTAAGTACCAATTCTGAAATTTGACTATTTTTTGTTAGAGGAGGATTTTAACTCTGTTCTATTTCATCAACGTCGCTATTCTTCTTTTATTTTTTTCCCCTTCTCTGCTTTAAACCATTCAGGCCGCCGCTGCTTCTTCTTCATGTTACCACCGTCGATTGCTACCGAGGTGAGTTGTCAGTTGTAGTTGGGCGGCCCTTTTCACGGCCATTGTCATCGTCGTTCCTTTAAAATTTATTAAGCAATACCCACTTAACAAAATATTGTATATATGTTTCCGTTAAAAGATTATGCTGAAAATTTGTTTGTTTGTTTGATAAAATTTCTGATTTTTTTTTTTAAATTCTTAATTTTCACTTTAGTTCTTTTGATTTATTTATGGGTTTAGACATATTTTAATTAGAAATATATGTTTATTCAATATGTGAAACAGGGTAATTTGAGATTAGGTGAATAAAAGAAATTTGTTTTTATTTTTAATTATTTGGGTTTTTATGGGAATCTATGAAGGAAAAGTTTCCAATTTGAATTTGTTTCAGTTCATGAGATTTTTTGGTTCTTGTTGAACTTAAAATTGATATTGTTGCCTTGAAACTGGACTTGAATTTGGAAAAGCTTGGTATGTATATTGTGTTAGATATAAATTATAGTATTATTTAAACTCAAGGGTGAGCGTCGGATATGAGAATTTATCATACACGAGTTTACTCAGTTTCTTGAAAAGGAGCTTTTCTGTATAGTTGGAAGATTATGTTCGAGTCCTCGTTTCCATGCTCGAAATATATGTCGATGAATGTGTCAGACAACTATTTTAGGAAAAACGAAGAGGCCGGGTAACATTGGATATAAATGTTGAAAGGGTAGTGACAAGTTTAGGATTTAGGTGGATTTTCAATCTTTTCTTCGAATGGTTGATTCATTTTTTGGCTATCTAAACTGAATAGATGAGTAAGAATAGTTGGCAACTTGGCATTATATTGAAGCTGACATTTGTATACAGTTTGTTTCTTGATTTGCTGAAAATGACATCCTTTGAGGGACATACGGCTGAGCCTCGGAAAACAAGTAATCCGACTGCTGACACTGCAAAGGTTCAGAGTGTATCATCATCATCATCATTCCGGAGGTGGGCTTCCAATGATTTCATTGACCGTGTTTGGGGCAGTTGGTCTCGGTCATCTCTTGCAAGGCAGGTTTGTTCTGGTACCTGGATCTCTAATGATAGCTTTTTTTGCGACTCGATTTTCCAAACCACTTTGACAGATGAGACCTATCTTCCATCTAGGTGTGAACATATCTGCTGCGCAGAGAACAGCAGATGTCATGTTAACTTTAAGGGGAAAACTTGTTATGCTGTTGATTATTGGCTCAATTCTGTGTATGTTGTATTTCTTATGATTGGAGTCAGACCTATAGTATTATGCCGTCGGTTTCAATGGTGGTATTTGTTTGTTAACTTGTAAAGTCGGTGGGAAAAAATCCGATGTCTTCGTATAATTGGAAATAGAAGGCTGTTTAATAGGTCTCCTTCGCACTGTACATATTTACACATGCGCAGACGTACATATCTTAACACGGTTTTAAGGTAGATAACCAAATTAGTATTTAAATGATATGATTCTTGTTTGGTTCATTATCCATTAGAGTCTTAACTGTAAGGTTCAAGCTCATCATATATTATGGTTTACTAGTTGGTTTGGTTATGAGCGTTGGTAGAGTTAGATGACATTTTGTCTTATTTTCTGGCAGCATTAGGTTAGATGAAAATTCAGTTGCTCGACCAACATAGGTGGAAGGTGCCAATGCTTAAACGGAAGAGTATTTATTGCTGCTGTATTTTCGTCTTGCTAGAGTTCACATGAAAACTCACGGTTTACATCCGTGGTTGATGCTCCACTTGAGAACTGCTGAATATTTGGACTTATATTTTCAATTATTGTTGCAACGCCTCTAATCTATAGTGTAATTGTCTTCTAAAATTTAATATTATTTCGTAGTTCAGCAAGGATATTGCAAAGGTGAAAGACGATCAAGAATGGGAAATCATCGAGACGAAGAAAGCATTATCAAGAACAGGACCCATCGATGCATATAAGCCAAAAAAGATTTCATTAGAGGAAGAAGTAAAGGTAGATGAGATTTTTTGTTTCAATGTTATTCAAATTCGGGGGTGTGTCAGATAGATCTCCATACCCTTGTTTAAATATGCATCGAGCACAAATATCAGATACAGTCACTTTGAAAAACAACCCGAAGAGTCCTCGTAACTTGCCTTTTCTTTTATTTTGTAGGCTTTGCGACAGAAGGTTGATATAAACAACTATGACTACAAAAGAATTCCTAAGCCAAACGAAGGCAACTCGGGCTAGCATTTTGTGCTCTCAAACCAAAAGGTTTCTTTCATAGTTGGTACAAACATTAGGATATTGGTTTTTATTTCTTTTCAGCTGCATCTCGATAAATATTTGAGTTTAATGTGAATCTGCTACGAGTCGAATCTGTTGCTTATGTTGTTTGTTGAAAAATTTTAGAACACAGTTTTGGTTAGTTAAGATTCATGTCTGTAGTAAATGGTTGTGTATTCCATTTGAGAATTTTCACAACATTCGTTTTTATGGCGGACGGGTAACTTCTTTTACTGCAGCTGTTGATAGAATGTGTATTCAGTACCGTATTTATATTAGTTGGACCGATTCGTGTGGGTTGTATTCTTCAAGTTTCATTCTATCAAAATTTGATGTCTTTTTGGTCATTTTGGCTGGCTTGTCTCCGTCTACTTCTGTCACTGTATAATTGGATTGGATTGTTTGATGAATGTAAATTTTTGAAGATAATATAATTTTATATATAAAAAATGAAAAGCGTCGAAAGTATTTTATGTTAAATAAAACGTATATACTTTATATATTTAATATTTATCTTCAATTATTTTAATTTTAGATTATAAATATGATTAAAATGTTAAATCATTATGATTATTAGTTTTTGTTAAATTAATTTTTAATACGTTATGAAACAAATTATTTGATTTGATTTGATTTGATAATTTTAGACGAAATTCGATCATTCCATACAAAGATAATATTAAAAGAAATAATTGAAGTACAATACAAATGAGACACGATCACACAAAGAATTGTAATATGGGGTGTTACAAATTATAAGCACGAGTTAATTAAAATAGCATTCCTTTAAATAAACTTATAATAATTATCGTTATTTTATATGAAAATGCACACTAACTGAAATTTATCAATACATTAAATTGATTAACCTAATTTTTTAAAAAAAATTAAACATAATTATTGAAGAATAAAAGAATAATTATATATATACGTGTAAAAGCACATGCCAAATAAACTAGTTTATCGGATCATAAAAATTTTTTTTTTTTCAATCTTATTTTAGTAATCAAATATATGGGAAAAAGTTAAAAAAAAAACTTCTAAAACTGAACATTTTCTGCCCAAAAAAAAATTCCTCCAATTTTCACTCAGAACCACATGTATTTTTACACAAAAAAACCTTCATGTGAGCCTATTTAAACCCTCTATCATATATTACATTAAAACCCCAGTGAAAAAAATTTAATTTTAATTAAAAAGGGAGATGGTTATTAAGAAAAATATGAGAATAATGATGATATTTTGCATAATATTAATGGCAGAAATGTGTTCAAGCCAAGAGCTTGGTCCATGCATGAAGAATTGCATGCCTTTCTGCTTGGAAGAGAAAGATGCAACCGAAAGTGCATGCTCGGCAGAGTGTGAAAAGCATTGCCAGGAGACTAAAGGCAAAAAGGGTGCACTTGATCTTCAATGGACACTTAATTGATCTATTTCTTTCTAATTATTTTTAGATATACTCGTCACAACAATTTTAGATATACATATTATATGATTGTTTTATAAAATAAATGAGAATGTCATATTCATGTATCTTTTAAATTTATAAATTTGTTCAAATATTTTTTAAATATTTATGAGTTTGGATTTTGTTTCAGATATATAATCATATTTGAACTTAACTAATTCATAAAATAATATATGAATATTGGGTCTTAAAATATGCATATTAAATGCCCAAATCCAAATTTTAAAATCCATAGAAGCTTATATAAATTGCGTTTATTCATAAACAAATATTTGTTGAATGATATATATTAATGATTTTAGTTTTCTTATTAATTTACACATCTTTCTTCTTGATGTGCAATATATTTATTTTTCTATGCATGTTCCACTGACTATAACATTAATTGAACTAAATTTAATCAGTATCTATATTCAATATTCCAAGCTGTATAGATAAATAAAAAGGCTAAAGAAAGGATTGTATTAGTTATAAATCAAGAAGATTATTTCTTACTTTTTCAAATTAGTTTATTGTATGTTTATTTTGATCAAAGGATAAGCCTTTATTGCTGATTGTATAAGTGATGATGATGATGGTTCAAATATAAAAAATAAACATAAAATAGAATATGAAGATTTAAACATGTTTATTTATTTATCGGATTATAAAATTTTATTTTAAAATCTAATTTTTTATTGAAAAGGGAAAAAAATTTAAAATTAAATGTTTTCACCTAAATCTCTATTTTTCTTATTTTTTTCATTAAAGACTTTATCAAACTATTACAAAATAAAATAATTATTGAATTTATCAAATTTTACAAAATGAACTTTAAAATTATCAAAGTTTATCATTATTTTATAACATGCAGTGACAATTTTGTAATAATTCATTAAGTTTAATGATCATTCAATATCTTTCAAAATTTTGAGACCAAAAAATTATTTCAATGTGATTTTTTTTAATTAATCTAGGATAAGTACAAGACAATATATGTTTAAATATAACTCTCAACCTCTTGATATTGAATGCTCACACCCCTGACATTCATGATACTCAAACTCGGATCCTCAAGAAATAACAACAATTCATTTAACACCGAGACTACTTAATTTTTTTTCAACGTGATTTAATGATCATTTATGTACTTCATCTAAAATTGCATTCCATGTTACCCAAACTCAGAGCATGTATTGAGTACAAGTATGTGCCTGATGTTCATATGTATGAGAAGTGATGCTCCCATATCCATGTTTGAATTTAAGTTGGACTACCGAGCATTATCTCGAACACCTATGTCTAAAATATGAACACGTCTATGTCCGATACACACATCCGAGTCTAAATGACGTAAGTGTCGGACACGAGTGCCGGACATATTTTAAAGAAAATGAAAAATCCGAGTAACATAAGATTGCAGTAACATTGCAACATGAAAAAGACTCAATATTGCAGATTCAAGTGCTCAACAAACATGAAACATAAACCTCTTACCCGCCACTTATAGGAGGAATGATGGCCAATTCGTCCTTGTCTTTAACAACAGCTGACTCGGTTGTAAATTCTTCATTGAGAGCAAGAACAATGCAGTGACGGATCTCATCCAAGTTCGGAAACTTCGCGACAAGCTTGTTTAGACAATCTTGTGTAGTACTACCGGATGAAACCTCAACCCGGTTATATACCGATATTTAGCGAAGAACAACACCTTTATCTGAACGGATGGCGTGGCTGTAGGAAGATTATCTTCCTTGGTTTTCACCTCCATCATGTTAACAAATGGAAAGCAACATTGGAATTATCACAAATCAAACAAACTGGTACTGCAAAAAAGAATCGATTTTAAACCACATTCGGGAAAGGGGAAATTTGAATCGGATCATAGACCTCATAGACCGACTACTGAGCCAGATACTCAAGTTCAGCATGAAATATCTACTAGTAACCTTGATTCATGTAATACCAGAACAGGACTACAACTACATGAATCAGATGAACACTACAGCTCAAAGATTCAAATTAACACGCCAACAAAAAAAGAAGATTTTAAGATCGTTATTTCCCATGATTTCGGATTCTCTATATCAAATCTTGTTCTTTGAGCATGGATCATATACCCAACAATTTATATAAATGCTCGAGCACAACATTAACACTAGAACAGAAATTACAAGTACATGGACCAGATGAAGCATAAAAGATCAGAAATTTGAATTAACAGGTTGAAAGGAAGAGAGTAACAAGCAGTAGAATCGAAAACAGAAAATCAAATTATAGCAGAGTACGAGACAACACAGAGCGAGTCAAAAATTCAAAATCCCATGACTCAAAAGTATAAATTAATCTTCAAATTAAGTTAAGGGTTTCCAAATTTTACCTTTACCTAATTTCCGGGTCTGTGGGAAACTTGAATGGAAGAGAGAGCTGGGATCAGCCACATGAGGAGTAGAGGTGTAAATGATTCGAGCTTGAACGAATAAAATTATGTTCGTGTTTGTTTGTTTATTTTTAAAGGTGTCCGGGTTCGTTTAATTTTTTAATATCACGTTTGTGTTCATTTATTTATTTTGAAAGGTGTTCGTATTCGTTCATTTAACGTTCGCGAACATGTTTGTTTAAATATTTGTGAACGTGTTCGTTTAGCGTTCCTTTAACGTTTGTAAATATATTTGTTTATCGTTCGTTTAATGTTCGAGAACATGTTCAAAAATGTTACCAAACAAATAAAAAAACCAAAAACAAATTAAATAAAATCACCTAAAAACTTATATAACACCCACATAACAAACACAATCTTAAAACATATTAGCAGTATTTAAAAGTATCTATAAACATTTTCATATTAGAACAACTACCAACATCATATTTTAAAACATACTTGAAAATAAAATAGAGCAATCAAATCGGGCAGAATAGACTGCCGTAACAAATGAATCAATCCAATAGAACGATAAAATCATACAACATCAGAAAACCCTAGATACATCACCTCAAGAAGCAAAAACACGAACAACAAGTAACAACAACTCAACAAAACACGATTGTCACATAGTGAACAACACAATCAAACCAATATAAAAAAGTAACAGGCACAACCAAAAAACACTCTTAAAATGTTAAATCACCTATAGAATCTAAGGGATAGAACCAAACATCAAGAATGAGAAGATAAAAATATAACGACTTGAAAATATCAAATATTAAATTGTGTTGACAAATACAATCAAATTGGTGCAAGAAAATTAAATACCTTTGAAATTCTTCAAAATTATAACTTTAAAGTAAAAAAAAATCTCTTTAACTTCTTTGTTCTACATAAAAAACTAAATTAAACGATCAAATTAAAGAATATATCAAATATTAAATAAAAAGAATAAATACTTAAAAATTACTTACTTTATATTTCTTTTTCAACCCATAAAAGTTTTGATACCAACTAGAACCACAAAATAACATTTGACCTATATAAGTTCCTAAAGATGAACGATATGCATCAATCACTTTACCACTAGCACTAAAAGCATATTCT